TAATGATCCTCAAAGTTCCTGTAGTAATTAATGCACAGAGGCATTTTTCTGAGGAACAGTTTGATATGTTACAGAGACCGTACTTTAAATTGACGTACCACTTTTCCTTTTGTATCTGGTTATAATGCAGTAGGAGACGATGTAGAGGACGGCAAACAGGAGGAAGCAAATCTTAAAAATGAGAAAAAAAAAAGATTTTAATGATGCAGCAAATGATCCACATACATTTTTTAAACAATGTAGAGATAAAGAAGAGCTTTGCAGATTGCACAGAGAGAGCATCCAAGTAAAACCTCAAGCTGGAATCTGAACCAAGGACCTTTTTGCTGTAAGGCAACAGCGCAAACCTCGGCCCCAAAATGTACTGTACTCCACAAACACGGAATACTGTTTGTGTGGCCTGATGCACTGCAGTGTGAAACAGCTGTTTATTACTAGACGTGATAATGTACACTAATTTAATGACATCACTTTGTTTAGTCAAGATGTGACTCCTTTGCTTTAAAATAGATATCAAACAGAATTACAAATCACTACCTCATTGTGTTTTAGAGCAAGTTTCAAATAATCACCAATAAAACTACTGATAGAAATTACTCAATATTATCCATTTATAGGATATTTATTGTAAGTCATTTCATACGATGTTGTTTTTCCATGGTATAATACCTGAAATGACACAACTTCAGGCTCAAAACTAACTGGGTAGTTTTACAGAAAGATCATATACCACATTCCTTTTTCCAACTGGGACACTAATCAGGATGTAACTAATATTAGAAGCTCTCACTTCAGCACTTTGCATGCTGTCAACGCTGCATAAATCATTCTGTTTTCAGACATTACTCAACACGATTGTATACATTTCAGACATGTATTTTATACAAGCTTCAGAAAAACAACTTTCCCGCCTCTTGGTGTCATCTGGCAAATGGAGAAAATATTTATGCATTTAAAGCTACACACAATTTTACCAGCACTGGCCAAAGTCAAGAGAAGACTACGGCAATCCCAGAAGAACCCAGAATAATCCAGAACCAGGTATCGAGTTCTGACAAACCAGCTTACAACAGAAACAGAAAGACAAACTGTTCTAAGCATATCTGCCAACACTTAAATCTTGGTTACTTCCTGTTTACTCCTTAGAGAATAGCACACTAAATCAAAGAAAATAGCATGCAGCATCTTCTTTGTTCCAAGCACAGTCCAAAAATCTCAAATTCTTTTCATTGATAGTATTTCATGCTTTCATAGTACAGACAGAAAACTGGAAAGGAAATATAGAAAATGTTAAGTCACACAACAAACATTCACTGAAGACTTAGTGCAAAATCAGGTCTTTTTGAGCATGGTATGTTCCTATGCTGGATCCCCACATCAGACATCAATTGTAATTGCTAAGATGTTCAGGGTCAAAGTTGACATTGCAGTCCTCCACAATTTTAGGGATGCACCAAAATTAACGTTTTAGCCCATATTGACTGCTGACATTTAAATTTGTGCTGTTTCATGATCACTGTCACATGACCAAACAAATGCACAAAGTAAACCCCTCGGAAAACTCACACAAACAACAACAAGATGGAAATAAATAATGTTTATTAAGATCAGCCCAGTTGTACTTATGGGACCAATAAGTTAAAAATTGATAGACATTGGCTAATGCTGATATGTCATACATTCCTACACAATATACAACATTATGCAGCTGGTAAAATCAAATGTTTGTACACCTATGCTGGATAATAAACTTATTTAAATAATATGGAACAGAACTTTATTTTTTTGTTTTTTTAAAAGAGCAGCATTGCATGAAAAGATAAAATGTCGCAATAAGCAATAGATCAATTAATCCATAATAAATTCAAACAAACTCAATCACTTCCATTTGCATGATTTGTAGTCGTTTTCTGTTCTCTCTTTCTACCAAAATCTGAATGACAAGTCTTCAGTCTCTCAGCCCTTTTTTGAAGGACAAATTTGTTTACAGAGACTTTATGATTTATTTTATTTGTTCTTTGCTTTATTTATTTTCGCTATTGAAAATGTCTTCCAGGTGCAGTGTTAAATGCTCACTAGAATTTAAAGTTGATTGATTTTGAGAATGTGTTTTTGCATTTTCAACCCATTACCATTATATTACTTGACAATGGACACGAAATAACATTATTACAAGAACTTCTGGGAGAATTTATTGTCCAGCTAAATGTGTCATTGTGACAGGCCTATGCATACACAGAGAATGCTGTCATAACCTGATTTCTCAAAGAAGCTCGACTTATGTGCTCTTGGCAAGGACTGGTTTGACTTTTTTTTAAAGAATTATTTAACTGGTCATACAGCAAAAGTTCACCAACTACACATTAATTGGGTGCATATTTTATTGTCACAAACCCATGTCAACCTATTTAATCAGGTTGTCTGTACTAACCCAAATTAGTACAGACAACCTCAAATATGCTTGTGTAAATCCATCCACATACTGAGTCACAGAAACACTACTGCTAACCGATACACTTCACATCTTGGTGTAAGGTTAGGCATGTTGATATTAAGAAGGACAGACGCTTAGGACAACATGTACAAGCCAACACTGAACTGTTGAGCCTGCTCGCTTCTGAGACATTTGATAGGTTAGCAAATATTTTCTTAAAAATATTGGATTATAATTTTGCTCGTACATGAAATTTCCCAGAGTTCTCCTAATTTTCTCTACTGATGCTGTAATTGTTTCTAGCTCTAAAGAGCAAAGAAACAATTCTTGATGGTAGATCAGCATGACAACAGGGAAAAATGTAATAATGTTGCTGATAATCATTATCCAGATATTATTGTTGTTTACTAATCAACATTTTCCACAGTTACATTTTTATTACATGTATCACTATGGCATTACTATGCAACAGTGCACAGCTCTTGACAGTGACCTTACTACATTACTAGCATGCAGAATAATGAATCCACACCACTTCCAGTACATGGACGATTGCATCTCAGCAGTTTATTGTAATCCTAATATTGTACAAATTAAAACTGTGATTCCAAGTGTTATTGAACATAAAGTGTAGTTGTAGTAAGAGGGATTTTAAAGAAAAAATAAGCATTTTCATCCATCTTCATCCCACTCCAATATGATCATGCACAATAATATAACTTGTGGCTGTTTCATTACAATTCAGCAACAAATTTACTTTTCCACTCCTTGGATAAAACTACACAAACCTGGAAAACATTTACGTCATCAGTATTTCTCCAAGAATAGGTTCAAAACTGATGGTCAAATTGTGGACCTTGACAAAATCTACAACAATTTGACTTCAAAATAAAGATAGCTTGACAGCGTTGCAGCATGAACGTAAATAAAACCACGCACCAAGAAATACATAAAATAATAAATTGTGCAATAATTCGTGTGTCTTTTTCGATTTATAAGTGTAAGTTAGCTGGTGATATTGATAAGCCATGTGTGGTGTTTTCACTTGCACATTTCATTCATTTCCTTTTTAGATTTGTTGTGAATTGGTTTCTTTCTAACCAAAGGCATGATTATAACTATTAAAAGAGCTGAAAATAATTCTACGAGGTTACCCGTTTTGATGCGCTAACGAGCTAGCTGTGGCTAACGTCAGCTGTCCTGGCGAGATCTCCGGATCTCCACTATGCGGCTTAAATTCAAACTAATTTAGGAAGTGATAATATCCTAATCCACAACAATGAAGACCCGAGTATCACGTTTATAATTTCCCCCCAAAAGCCAATCTGACCCACTGATAAAGCTAATGCTAGCCTCCAGTGATGTGTAGACAGAGGACGTTAGCCAGCTAGCTCCATTACTTACGATGTACTCTCGAACTTGACTGTGAAAATTCTGCTCTCTGATGGTAACATCGTCTTCTTCCATTCTTCATATTGCAAGTACAGAGAGGCTACAGGTTCTCAACATTCTCGCTTGCCTCACTGGCAACAACTGCGGATCGCTCTGCACTGCGCGCAAACTGTATTGGCTGTTTAAGTCAGGCTTCTCCGTGGTAAATAGAAAAAAATACGCCCCAAAATAATGGTCGTCATCTCAAAGCGTCAAGCTTTTAAACGGCAAGCATTTTTTGGAACGTCATCACCGCCGCCATATTGGAGAGGGGATGTTTTTTATAAAACACAATTCAGCATATAACATAATAAAACAAACGGAATGAAAATTAACAAGGAAAAAGCAATAAGATAAAAAATAAAAAACCTTGAACCATGCGTCAGTTCTTTTAGAGTGTTAAAATGACTTAAATGCCTTATGGCTTTTAAGTTGACTCAAAATGTGCAGTTTTAAATAAACAGCAATGAATGTAAAGTGATAAATAAATGAAGCGCTACTTAATTTATTTTAACATCAAAAGCACTTAAAGAGTTGTGTAATAGTAGCTAGTTAGAAATTATTAATATATCTAAAAACATGTGGAGGGAATTTTCCGTATTTGTTAGATGTATAAAAATCATATTTGAATATGGAGCCAGACATCTTATTGTAATTTGTTTTTCCTGGTAGGTGGAATTTTTAGTTCTCCATTGGATCATGCACAACAATCATGTGGTCTCAAATGCATGTGGCCCATCAACAGTTTTTGAGTTTAAGGAATCTCTGGTTAGTTACAAGTTTCAGCATCATCAACTGTGTAGTACATAGTTGAGAACATTAAGAACACAAAGAACATAATAAATTCCCACAAACTGGAAATGCAAGAAGCATAAAAACCTATTCATATATTCATATGCAGTTTACATACATTTGAGTGTGCAGATGTCTGTAAACTTCAAGTCTCAGCTGTCTGACTACATAAAAACCGCAATACTAATTTTGTCTAAAATTAGGTAACATTTATCTCTTGACGTGACTGATTTAATGACCAGTGTCTCCCCTCCCAATATGGCGGACGCTTTTACGTCCGCCATATTTTGCGTTTTACGCATACGGTGCAACCTGGAAGTAAATAGTCACGTGTCATGTCAACAAACCTGCATGCATGGAAACACATGGGCAGTTTCAGGTTTTTATTTGATCAAAAATAGAAAACATGTTACTTAGCTACTTATTTTGACTGCAACTATTCGTGCTTTAAGTTTTCGTGTCGCCGGTCTGAATTAACTTTGCTAAGCTAGCCTTGGTCATTTCCAGACTGTTTGTAGAAATGAAAGGGGGGAAAAGGAAACAGAACATCAAGAAGAAGAAGGGGAATGCGGTCTTACAGAAGTACATGTGTGCGGTGGACGAGTTTGTTAAAAATATTGGTGATCACGAAGAAGCAGACAGGGACCAGAGGCTGCGATCCGTGAAAACCAAAAGCAGAAAGGAGTTACGCAAAGAAAAGAGAAGACTGAAAAAAGCCAAAATGAAAAGTCACTATGAAGGGAAAAAGAGCGTCAGTTTTGCCTCAGATGTTGGGGAAAAGTTGGAAGTCAGATCGGAAAATAAGCACCAGACTCCGAAGAAGAAAACTGATCAAATAAAAAGGGACGTGACAAAAACTCTTTCACACAACCACGCTGAGGTTCCTAAAGAAAAAACGGAGTCATCTGGATCTAAATCCTCCGCCAAGAAGGGAAAGAAAATGAACAAGCTTCAAGAATCCAGAAAAATGGCTCTGCTGGAGGCAAATGAACAAGAGGACAGAGAGATAAAAAAGCTGGAGCGGTGTCTTGGATTAAACAAAAGGAAAAACAAGAAAAGTCTCCCTCAGTCCTTTGTGACAGATGGACTGGACTACATCCTTGGGGTCCTTGACTCCGGCTCATCTGGAGCAGGGATATACGACGATGAGTTTGACGAAGATGAGGGTATGGACACTGCGAGAGAAAACTTTGAAAAGTTGGATCAGGATGACTCCCCTCTGTCAGATGAAGATGAAGAAGCTGAGGAGGACATGGCGAGTGAGGAAAGTGATGAAGCTGAGGAAGAAGAGATGGGGCATGAGGAAGAGGAGGAGATGGGGAGTGAGGAAGATGAAGAGGAGGAGATGGGGAATGAGGAAGATGAAGAGAAGGAGATGGGAAGTGAGGAAGATATGAATGAAAGTGGTGCTGATGCTGCTTCAGGAGCTGAAAGTGAGGAGGAAAATGACGAAGAAGCTTCCCATCCTAACCAAAGAACAGAAATTGTGAGTTTAGATTTTAACTCACATAATTTTGTTGCTTGTTTCATAATTAGTTATTGTGTTATGTTTTTGTCATTTAAAGCACTGTGAACTGCATTTTTGCTGAAATGTGTTGTGTGTTTTTCTTATAGGGCACCCCAATGACTGGCAAGTATGTCCCACCTCAGCTGCGAAATATCGCAGATGACAAACGCAAAGCTGAGCTTGAATCGCTGAAAAGGAAAGTGAAAGGCCTGCTTAATAGGTAACACTCTGCTACAGCAGCGCAAATAATTCAGTCAGTAATACATGGAAAATGTAATTTTGAATATTTAACCTATCAATTTCCTCTCATTTTTAGCACCACATTTTCACTTCAATGCAAAAATGCTCTGTTAAATGTTTCACTTGTCATATCCTTTTAATTTATTTTAATTAATGCCATAAACATACATGACAAATTGAAATGATTTGTCTGAATCTGTAATCCTTCAAATGTCAGGTTAAGAAAATTTCAAGAAGATGTGTTTTTCCCTCTATGGGTGAATTGTAAATTCTTGGGCCATCATTTGAAGGATGCCATTTATTATTTTTTCTGTAAATGTTTTAAGAACAATATCGACTGTTCTCAGTTTCGACTGTATGATATGGTTAGGGATACAGTCCCTAACCATACTATAGCCGATTAAGTTCTGAATCCTTAAACCCTTAAATTCTTATGAAAGAGTAAAAAATATATTTATTCTCCACTGTATATTCATAAATTGGGTTATTATCCAGTTCTAGGAAAGTCAGAATTTCGAAACATTAGTTCATATTTACCATACATTTTATTTATGTAAGATGCAGATAACTTACTCAGCCTTGGATCCCTTAGATAAAAACAAATGATCTCTTAAATATTAACATGTCTTCATTTTTTCTACAGTTATGTTTTATTAATCCAATCATTAACTGCGGTCCTCACCACTCTTCAAATATTCATGAATTTTCTGAATATAACCATTTTCTTCATGATTTACATGACAAAATCCTGATGGCAACAACCTGCACCCTGTCCTCCTCTCAGTTTCCCAAACTAGAATCGTCATTCTCAGGGATGTATTTTATTCTCATCAATGTACCGTTTTCAGGCTGAGCGAGGCCAACATGGCCTCCATCTGTGGTCAGCTGGAGGAGCTGTACATGAGCTGCAGCAGGAAGGACATGAACGACACACTGACGGATGTTCTGCTGGCAGCCTGCGTCACTCCCACCCTGATGCCCGATAGACTACTGATGGAGCACGTGCTGCTTGTCAGCATCCTCCATCATGCTGTGGGGCTGGAGGTGAGGCCCTTCAGTTCTTTGCCTTGAATATTTTAGATTTGAAACGAGCGATAAGAACATTGACGTCATACTGACTGGTGAGTTTAGTTTTTCTTTGTGGTATTGCGTTTAAAATAAAACATGCATCCATCTGTCGATCTTCCCTCCGCCCTTTCCATACATCTGAATGTCCATCTCCAAAAAGGCCTCAATTCTGACTGGAAGGTATTTTTATATCTAACTCCAGGCATTTGCACTGTCTTGTATCCCATCACAGGTCGGAGCCCATTTCCTCGAGACAGTCGTGTGGAGATTTGACGAGGTCTACAAGAACTCCAGTGAGGACAAAGAGTGTGACAACCTCATCGCCATCGTTGCTCACCTCTACAACTTCCAGGTGGTGCATTCTGTCCTCATTTTTGACCTCCTGAAGCTACTGGTGGGAAGTTTCTCAGAGAAGGACATCGAGTTAGTTCTGTTTGTGCTGAGGAACGTCGGCTTTGCCCTGAGGAAGGACGACGCGCTCGCTCTCAAGGAACTCATCTCTGATGCTCAGCGCAAGGCCAGTGACGTTGGAACAAAGTTCAAAGATCAAACCAGGGTATACTGTGCAAAATTATTTACCTTCACACAAAACTCATTTTCATAACATCAGCTTAGCTTAAGTTGATCATTGCATTTTTCTATTTATCCTAGGTTTATGTTATTAACCTAGTTGGCTGCTTAAAGACTCGTTAATTTATCTCCAGGTGCGATTCATGCTGGAAACCATGTTGGCTTTAAAGAACAACGACATGAGGAAGATCCCAGGGTACGATCCGGAGCCTGTGGAGAGACTGAGGAAGCTGCAGAGGACTCTGGTAGGTGGTAATGAGACTGGGATGACGTCGGTAAATCTTCTGCCAGCTTGACAGGGTTGTCTTCAGATTTCATTTTTACCCTTTTTTAAAAATATAAACAAAAGGTTAATATGCATAAACACAGACTGTTGGTATGAGATAGATGGACAGATGAATACCATTTTCAGAGAATGCAATAGAGAACAAAGTTTGGAAATCTAAACATGTTCCTGTATTCTGTTTTTCCATACTTATTTAGATATGTAAAATATTTCTGTCTAATTCCTCAGTTTTCGTAAGTGCAAGAGGATCCATCTTTTTAATCGTATCACCTGCAGTATTTTATGTTACCAACAGGTGGCACCAGAGTCCTACTTTCATGTTTCCTATCATCAGTGTTGATGTTACAATCATCTTGACTTTTTGGACATGATTAAAACTCTTACATGTTGTCTGTTTATTTTCATCCTTTAAGATGACTTTACTGTTGCTTGCTGGTGAATGTTTGATCCCCAGATCCGCAGCAGTGCTGGAGGCAGTGACCTGAAACTGAGGGTGTCTCTGGAGAACATCCTGAAAGCAGAGCAGGTGGGCCGCTGGTGGATCGTTGGCTCGTCATGGAGCGGAGCGCCCATGATCAGCAAGCAGGATGACACAACCTCAAAGCAGAGTGCTGCTGAGGGACAGGTATGTAAATTAATAGAGCAATAAAATATTATGTTAATGACAGGAATAACTTAACTCAAATCCATTCTAATGTTTTCATATGGTTTCCCTGTTCTATTTCTTTTGATTTTCAATAGTAAGTTTAATTGTATCAAATTAGATTTAGGTAAGATTTTAATATGTAATATCTTATTCGGTCGATTTCTAAAGACATATTTATTTCAAAAATAATGTTAAGTCAGAAAGACAAAAGCCTAGAGAATAGTATAGAACAAAAGTACAAAAATAAAGAGAAGTTGTTGGTAAATTCCCAGAAATATATTTCTTATGATTATGATGAGGTTTTGGATTGGAAAATTTCAGAGAAGGAAGTTTCTCTCAATAGTTTTTACTGTACATTCTATTTTAATATTATTGAACATTTTGCTAAATATAAAAAAACAGTAAACCTTCCCACGCAGTCCTGACAACATATAAAAATAACAACCCAACCAGAGGTGGAAATCCTAATTAAATGTGTTCTATAACAGACCTATGCAAACATAACAGTTTACTCATTATAGTACAATATAATGTACTATATGTTGCATTCGGATTTCAGAAAGGTGCCAAACATTGTTAAGCTTGACGTTATGTTACAATACTGTGCTGAAGCCAAACACATAAACAAATCCAAACATGCAATTCTGTTTTTTATTTTTTGTTTTTTTTTACTTTTACTGTTTTCCATCTCCTTCAGTTCAGCCACAAAGTTTTAGAGCTGGCAAGGAAGCAGAGGATGAACACTGAGGTCAGGAGAAACATCTTCTGTGTTCTTATGACCAGCGAGGACTACCTGGATGCTTTCGAGAAGTTGTTGAGGTTTGCTTTGGCTCACATAATTGTCCTTTTATTGGGTTCGATTCTCCAAAAGAATCATAATTGTCTGTTTTCTCACAAGTTTGGCTCACTTCACGCTAGATTTACACTTTTTTTGTGTGTGTGTGTTTTTTTTTCTTGGTGAAGAATGGGTCTGAAGGACAAACAGGAGAGAGAGATCGTCCATGTTCTGATGGACTGCTGCCTGCAGGAGAAAACCTTCAACGCATTTTACGCCGTCCTCGGAGAGAAATTCTGCTCCCAAGATCGACGCTTCCAGGTACTGTAATTTATGTCGGATGCAGTTATGCATTATAAAACAGTTAGAGTCACTATTTTTACAGTTTAAACTGTAATCTGTGTCAGATGAAGTAGTGTACACGTTGAAAAAAAAGGTGGTTAGACATTAATTAACTATAAAGTTAGGGACGTTGCATTAAAATTGTAAAAATAAATAACATTTTCTAATTGAAACGACTTAATTACACCAGTTACTTTGGGGGTACTTTTGAATGTATGAAAAATTATTTATAAATAATTAGTTACACATTTAGATGGCCACCCAGTGTGTGTGTATGATTTGACTGTGGCCTTCGGTTCACCTCGGCAGTGTGGGAGACCCTCACACCTCTCGCTCCTGATTTGAGTGCAAACATTGGAGCTGCGAGATCACCTGCACTACTGCCATGGTAGCCAGCAGCTCATATCAGAGACCAGTGGCCATTGTCCTGATCAAAGAGCTTTAACTAGAGCCACTGGGACTGTTTGCTCTTCACATGTAAGCTGGATGTAGATGCAGTCACTTACTGCTTGCGAGAGTTAACCTTTTGCCTCAAACGATATGCAGATAAACTGAGTGAAGTTGTTCGCAGTTTGGCACGCCAAAAAAGAATTCAGGATGAACTTCCTTATATAAATAAGAAATTAATCTGTTTTTTATGTAACATTTCTGAAGATATTTTATTGAAATAGAAATGAACATTGGAGAAAATGTCAAGGAAAAGCAGAACACATTGTAGAAGTTATTTTTCATTTTCTTGCCATTTTCAAAATGTTGTCTTCATGTTTCCTTTCTTTCTGGACCCAGTTTGATTTTGGCTGTTGAGTATCAGTCTATTTAGTCTTGATAGTCAAATATCTTACTGAAATTTGAAGGTAAATAATGGCAAAAACTCTAAAATGTCCTATGTAACAATTTTATTGTGTAATTTTTTTTGGTGAACTTTTTAAATTCCAACCTGCTTCAGTTTCTTGTGGTTCTGATCACTGTCAGGTGTTGTGAAGTTTGAGTATTTGGTATTTTAATTTATTGAGCTTCACCTCCTTATCTGTACAATTGATGCTTTTTCCATAATGTCCTTAGGGAGTTTAAATCTCTTTTTGGAGTCCAAATGTCTTGCAAGAGGCCCAAAGCAGTTGCAACATTTGTTTATACCTCAAACTGCTTTGTGAATTTCCTAGCAAACCATATTTGTCTGGAAAACTTCAGGGCAGTAATGAAACAGCATCCAGTATGTTGATTTAAGAGATTAAGAAAGTTTAGCTCTTAAGAAGCAAATTGTAAAGTAACAAAGGGATGACTTTATGTGCCGACTGCCCCCCACCACTTTACTGGATTGTTCTTGTACTAAACAAGAACTGCTACTTTCCTAGATGACGTTCCAGTTCTGCCTGTGGGACAAGTTCAAAGAGCTTTCCAACCTTCCCAGCTGTGCATTTACCAATCTAGTCCAGCTGGTGACTCACTTTCTTCGGAAGAAATGCCTCTCACTCTCCATCCTCAAAGTGAGTCATTCATTTTGTGCCACTATGTCCTGTCATAAATCAAGTAAGACATATCTTTTGTGCTCATTTCCCTTTCTTTGTATAGGTGATAGAGTTTGGGGAGTTGGATAAGTCCAAGGTGCGTTTCTTACGTCAGGTCCTGACGAAACTATTGAAAGAAACTGAGCCAGAGGAGATAGCTTGCATATTTGGGAGGTGAGCTTCTTTCTTTTCCAGACTTGTATCAAATAAGCAGTAAACATTTAAGTTGTTACAGGTTTAAAGACACAGAATTAGAGTATGCCACACTTCACAGATTTTCATTCATTTATTTATTTGACTTTATTTCATTTTTCTTACTTTTTAGAAACTATGATATTTTGTGTTGGTGTATCACATAATTTCCAATAAGATGTATTGTATGTTTAGTTTGCAGAATGAAATTTTTTTTTTGCAAATGTTCTTTATGGTGATACAAAAATGTTCCCCCACTTGAAAGGTCATGTAAAATAACTGTTCATTACACTTTGACATTTTTGTAAAATTTTATAATAAATATGTCTTGTTTCTCCATCTCACCAGGGTTTCAGGAATCGCTAAGCTGGCATTGCTGCGAGAGGGCTTGAAGCTTTTCATCAGTCACTTCCTCGTGAAGAACTCCCAGTCTCAGAGATCGGCTGAGGATGCCGCGTTCCTGCGGGAGCGTGCTCAGGTCGCCACCAAGGCTATGGAGACTAAAGACACCAAGCTCAAACTGTAAAACAAACCAAAAGTTTGTGGCATTAAAAGCTTGTTGGCCTCACATAAATCCACAAAGAAAGACCCAAAAACTCTCAATGTTGAAATGCAGGGCTGAGATCCACCTGATCTACGACAACCAACTGAAACATTTTGCATTCTCTGATTTGTGTGTGTAAGAACGAAAATGTTTTGTTTCCATCTGCAACATACACTGTCAGAGTTTATCTTTGTAAATTTGTTTAGCCCTCCCGCAAACTTAGCGGGAGACGCTCTGTAGGAGAGCAGGAGATGTCACTGTCGGTCAGTCTCCATCTCCAATTAAGTTTTAGTGAAAATCTTATTTCAGCATGGCTGCCCTCTTGGAGGTTATTTTTCACAGAAGCTGTAAAAAATAAATTCAAGTTTTTCTTACTAACTTAACATTATATCGAGGGTAAACGGCAGAGATGGAAAGAGTGGATTGATTAAAAACAGAATGTAAAAAGAAAGCAACACATATCTTTGGTTTGTTATAAAGTCAATCAGTTTGACTTTATTGTGTGTATCATTTTCATTCCTAGCAAAAAATGTGTTTTTAACATTTAAAACTCAACTGAACTTTAACGGTCTGCATTGTAGACTTTTTCCACTTTCCTGTGTGTTTTGACCTGAGCACTAAGAGGTTATGGCATTGCTCTTCAGTGTTTACACGCCCTGATAAATTGACTCGGGGACGCTGACTATGGCCTGTCCTGTTCGCCTGCTGACACCAGTATATTTCCCACATGGTTTGCATAGCAGAGTCATTCTGTTACATTTGATACTTGCTTCTATAAATTTGCTCTGTTGATGCCTGTATTATTCTAAAGATGTAGAGCGGGCAGCCTGGGGGTCAGGAACAGGCCGGGTCAACCAGATCAAATGTTTATCAGTTCATGAAATAGGCTGCTGCTGATGGGAGGTCGATCCTTTTCCATTTAAGCCAAACATTCAGTGATGTACACAATGTTAAAAGATAAAGTGTTTACACCCTTTAAATTTTTTTATTGTGATGTGGTTAAAGGACATGAAAACAATTATTTTGAAAGTTCTTCACAAATAACGAGGAATTTATAGTTTTCAGATTTATTTTGGTACCCCTAATTTAAACAAACATACAACAGTTGACTTAAGAATTCACAAAATTAGTAAGTTATGTCTCTTGCAAAGAACTGTCTGTAAGTAACCCTGGACAGACCTTTCCTCCTGTGAAGTGCAGTGGTGGCACCATCATGTAGTGGGGATGCGTGTTTTTCAGCATTGAAGTCAAAGCTGGTCCATGTTAATGAAAAATATAGTTAAATCCTGCAAGAAATCCTACAGAAAACATGAAGCGCAAGCATATTTATATAATTAAAAACTGATTTATCCTTCTTCACAAGCATCATCAATGTTGTGTCAATGAATAAAATGCATCAAAGTTGTTGACAAAATTAAAGTTATGGGGGAATGAAAATAGTAGTGTATGCAGCAATTTTTAGTGCAATTATTTTTTTGAGAAAAACATTGTTTTAGAGAAGCACTGTTAAAAACATCTGTAAGTTCACTACAGCTTGATTTTTACCTGCTGACCCTAAGCTGAACTCTAAGTCAACCTGCTAAAGCAAACAGCTCAACAGATTACTTGTTGAACCTGGTATAAATGGTGCAAAAATCTCTCCAGTGTTGCTGTCAATCTCCATCATTGCTTTGTTGTCACAAGAGTCAAACTCTAGCACTATCATGTAAAGTTAAACCCGTTACTACTTAACAATAGGAACTCCTGTGCCATAAATATTCTTAATATTGCCTGATCAGCGATTCTTATGCCTCTTGTGATGTCATGGACCCAAACTTGCTCTTTCTCTCTTCTGTGCACTTTTATAAAAATGCTTATATTAATGTCAATCTCCATTTCCAGTGACCTCTTACATGAGGACACTGGATATCTTTAAATTGGACACACATATGTTGTTGTTGGGGTTTTTTTTGTTTTTGTTGTTTGTTTTTTGGTTTTGTTTTTGGTTGTTTGTTTTTAATTTCTTACATTTACAAACTTAAGTATTAAACCGATATCACAGATTATAGCTACCGATCTTACCTTAAAATCCCAGTCCACATGAAGCCATCCAGCAGCATCCATGTTTCCCAGCTTTCTAAAGGGTATATTAATACGAGCCTATTGTCGGTGTGGTGTGAAATGTTTCCTCTGTCTGACTGCCTGCTCGCTGTTTGCTCTCACTGCCCGTTTGCACAGATCCGACAGCGTTATTAACAGTGATTCCCATGACCCGAGCTGTCAGAGCAAAGAGAGGGAACACAGGACTCAAACACTCCCTGTAAATCATGAATGAGCCTCTGTGTTTCCGAAAAGAAGCGGGGGTGAAAGAACACGCGGAAACATTACCTGATTTTAATTTTAAGTTAAAAAGAACATTCTATTTTACATTATCTGCAGGAAGATAAAGGTCGAACAATTATTTTTAGCATGCAGTTTTTTTTCCTTTCCTCTGAGCAATTTATTGTATAAATACTTAATAGAAAAATAATTTTTCCGTTTCATTTGTCATATTGCTGTGAATAATTTAGTTTTATGGCCTCTTTTCCCGGAAAAAAAAAACAAAACAAACCGCAGAACTTCGCCACTGACCCACTATAGGCTTCATGCAGTGAGTATGTGGGTGCGCAATGATAGCCTAAATAAAATGCAGGTCTTCTGATTTATTGCTTTTTTTTTAATATCAGCGTCATTTTTGCGAATTTCGTACAGGAAAATTCTTGGATTACATGCAACTGCATCAGTTTTCTTTCTTTCTTCTTTTTCTTTTTTTTTTTTTTTTTTTTTACAATGAAACTTCCCAGAGTCAGTCAGCTGGAGCTCAGCTCAGTTAAGGCTGCGGACTGGCGTCGCTGTTGTGGTTGCGCTCCTCGTCCGAAGAGCAGTCCGACGAGTTGTACAAGAAACTGTCGCCCTCGTCGTCGTCGCTGTCCCTGAAGTCTCTTATTCTGCCGTTTTTTGAGTCCGTCTTGCTGTGGTAATCTGACTGCTCAAGTCCGTCTGATTTCTCCTGGCCGCTCTTGCTGGTGCCTTTCTGCTTCTCGGCCTCCTGCGCGGCCTGCTCTTTGGCCTTTTTGCTCCTCTTCCATTTCATGCGTCTGTTCTGGAACCAGATTTTCACCTGAGGAGAAGAGGAGACGATCATTCATCCGCCAAAAGCGTCAAAAAAAAAAAAAAAAAAAGGTTATTGGACATCGTTGTTGTTTTGATAGTTTCCATTTGCTTCTTATTTCACGTCACGTCTCTTTGCAATAGTGTTTCAGTCATTTTCAACGCTAAGAAAAAAAAATATCTTATTTCTCCACTAAATGAAATTGAGAAGGGGAAAAAAAGCACTCGTCACTATCGTTTCCACATCCACGTAGCGAGATTGTAAGTGAAAAATGTGCGTCTTATAACAATTATAAAAAACGTAATAATCATAGATAAAAGCAGGTCTTATTTTTAATTGTCACTTCTTTGTGTATGTAAAAAAAAGGAATTCCAAAAGGAGCAAACAAAGGTGCGTAAAATCATCTTTCCGCTAAGCAGTTACATTTTTCACACCGAAAGAAAAAAATCCCACCAACATTAAATGGACTTCTTCATAAAAAAATACAAAATTACCTCACATTCAATAATTATGCCATTTTATCTCAAATTTATCCAGCTGAACTGTTCAGTAGCTGCTGTAAAATGATTTTTTTTTTAAAACAAGGTTGTAAAGATAGCTATAGATGCCTAAAATAGTTCAAATGTGATCAGAGTTCGTCATATAAGACTACCAGGAATTACTTTTATAGACTTAAAATATCAACCAAAATGTCAAATCTCTAAGTTATTTTTTTCTATGTTAAAGGCCGGTTAACCGTAATAGCAATGTACCGTTTGCAGGGTAAAGGGTTAATCATTTTATGTGGTTTATGTTAACAAAACTAACTAGATTCTCTCTTTCTTCCAAACTTTATTCTTTAAAAAAATGTAGAATAACCCATCTGGCTGTGTCACTTCTTTTTAACCTTTTCTGCTCTAACAAAACTTAGTAATTGTGCGTAAAATGTGCGTAAAAGTCGCCAATCAAACTAACACGGCCCTTGCTGAGCTTAGTGTCCGGGGCATTGTCACAAAAATGTTCAAAATCTGATTATTATATATTTTTTATTTACTTAATATTGTATTAATCAATAATCAAAATCACAATGAGCTGATTCACCTGCCTCTTTCGGAACTAATATTTAATCTGGAATTTAAGAAGCATCCCATAATGTCAGTAATCTGAGATGCACTATTCTAAACCCAAATAGTATAAAACAATTAAAATGAGACAAATTAACAATGGAAACATATTTTTAAAACTCCAATAGACAACAACTTGACTTATCTGGATTTATGCTATGGCATATTAAAATTTCTTAAATTTCTTTATGGTTATTGGTTTTGGTGTCATTCCAAAGTTAAAAAATGGTCCCCAGTTACCCGTCCTTTTAAAAGCTGTATAGAAGCACCCTGTCTGTCCTGTATCAGACACAGCAATGCTAAGAATGAGCTAATCCTGGGGGCCTTTTTAGAAATGCTGCTGTACCTGACCAAATAGAAACTTGGAGAATTTCTTGTATCTAAGCAAAATCTCATACAATAGACATAGAGAAGACAACCCATCCATCCATCCATCCATCCATCCATCCATCCATCCCATCCATCCATCCATCCATCCATCCATCCATCCATCCATCCATCCATCCATCCATCCATCCATCCATCCATCCATCCATCCATCCATCCATCCATCCATCCAGAAGTTAAAGGTGAAAAAACATTTCTTTAGGCTATATTCTTATCTGCTCTACTTTTAAGTTATGTAAGCCATCAAAATTATTTAACTCTCAATTGAACATTTGACTTTGTAATGTAATGATGCTAAATTCTAACAGCATTAAGGCTTTTTTTTTTTTTCTTTTAGGTTTGGAGTTTTTGAGCACCAAATATTACCTTAATTTGATCAGTGCAATGAGTAGTTATTCTTGTTTTTTGTGTTTCATGTTTATCAAGGGACAGTAAGGCTAATAAGTTACTATAATTTGACAGTATAAAAGTAGTAAAAGGTTAAGTATTGTTAAAATCTCTTTTTTAGATAGGATGTGCTTTTAGCAAAAAATAATTTCTGTATCCTGCTGCCAAAAGTGCTAATGCTAACATCAACCTTGAAGGAATGTTAAACTTTTTAACTTCTTAATGTTTCACGCCATAGCAACAAACAGATGAGCATTTATTGTTTTTGGTGACATATGAGTGAAATTATCTTAGTTTGATTTAGTTTATCTTAAAACAAATATAATTAATTATGTTTGGCAGTCGATGAGTCATCAGTTGAATCTCACATGATGTCTAGTCAAATTTCCATACAGTTTTGTACACCAAAACTGTATGGAAATAGTTTTTCATTAATTACATTAAAACACTTAAACAATGCCAAATGGTAATTTACTTTTTGTGTTTTTGTGGGTTTAAAAATTATGTTATAATAGTCATAGAGTAAAGCCATTATAAACTGGGCTTTTCTTTGTATAGTTGCTGTAAAATGCATAATACCATATAACAATTTGTTGAAAAGGTTCCATTACTTTATAAACCAATTGTAAATGTGGCTGAAAGTTGAAAAGCTGTTGGTATATAGATGTCTACCATAACTGTTGGTTAAAAGGCTTTGATTGATCAAATGGACAAACTTTAATTGTGGAACTGCGCTAAAAGATTTTGAAAGAGCCATATATATTAGTTATTGAAATAATGTACCTAAATTCAAATTGAGTACATTGGTGTGTAAATAAAACGTTCAACAACTGTCACATTTAAACATAAGCTTATGCTTTGGTAACAAACTCGTTTCAAACCTTTCCATTATAAATAAACTACAGGTGTTGATTTAATTAGCTGTAATTGTCATTTGCTAATTTGTTTATTTGAATTGAATTATAATTGAACTGATCAACTAAAATAAAAGTTAACGACTGTCACAAGATTTGTAGTTGACGTAATTTTGCATTGGAGCAAGAATTAAAATTTTTATCCAGCCTTAGTTAGCTTAGCAACAGCGTTACTGCTAAAGACACATTTCCAGTGAAATCCATTTACTTTGAGCAGGTCACTGTAAATGAACAGCGCTTCTTAGTTGAAAGTCTAAGGAGAAGTTTATTTCTGAGAAAGTAGAATTTAAAAGTTTACATCCACTTTATAGCAATAGCGCTAAGCAATAAATATACACTTTATCAATCCCACACTGGGGAAATTCACATCATAACACAATTACAAATGATAAACAAATCACAATGAAAAATAATCTAAGTAATCTAAAAGAAACAAAACACTTTGCACAATGTATAATTTTTTAAAGCTGTAATATTGCACCTATTATAATAATGTATAAGATATAACTTATGAAATATGCTACAATGCCAATGCAATAATAACTGCATAGATGAGAGGTAACAGAGACATTAGTGGTAGCAAGAAGTACAAATTTATCAACAAGTTGTTATGCTATACAGTCTGACCCCAGTTTGTTTGAATGGCCTGCTGTATCTTTCCTTCCTTTAAGTGGGTCTATCAGTTTCTACTGAAGGAGCTGCTTACGGCCCCAGCAATGTCATACAGAGCATTAAAGGAATTGAGAATTTTGCTTTCAGCTTAATGCTGTACAGGCAAGCTGACCTTTGTCACCTTGTCGCAGTCGTTGCCTGTCAGTGGCATGTGCAGGTGCAGTTTTCAGGGAAAAAAGTTTAACACAATGCTACATATTTTAAAATAGATTTTAAAGGTCTGTGGTCATCTTGAACTATTTTTGCAACAATGCCTATGCAAAATTTAAACTTGCCAGCAAGTGGCTTGAACCTGCCCAGAAATAACACAGCTTCCTTGGCAAATCTTCTTAGCTGCAGTTGCCAGGAAAAGTTTTCACATGCAATATGTTCATTGCAAAGTAGCTTTTTATGTCTTAATCGGAAACCAAGTACTTTTCTTGTTTTTTTTTAACAAGGAAAACAAGCATCATTTAGTGAAAGAAACAGTGAGGGTGTTCAAAACGTTGTGTGCTCCAATGACTTCAGCTGTGAACGTGTATATTTGGTGTCTAATGCAATGCATTTGGTAGTAATCAGTCTGAACGTGCAGCTTTTTAAGACAATTCAGACATGAAGACAATTCTGAATTGAGAAATGTGACACAAATACATTTATCCTGGTTCTATGGGTGGTCAGTTGTGGGAATGTGGTTTGTTTCTTTGATTAATGACATAAATAAAAAAAAATATTGTTTGTTGTATCTAAATTCCAGGCTAATTTGAAACCAGGCTAATTTGAAACCAGATAATTAAAACCTAATTTATTTGAGAGACCAAAAATGAATGAAATGGATTTCGTTTGATTTAATTCCACTGAAATTTGGCTAAACTCTGTTGTAAACTGGAATTGAACGAATTTAATTGTTACTATTTGATCAACTGTTTTTAAAAGTGCATGGGTAGAAAGAAAGAGTTCTGCTTTCAGTGTTAAGTTAAGTTTGTGCATTCAATAATTTGAATGCACAAACTTAAGAAAAAAAAAAACAGCTGTTGGCGTGTAACATTTTATTTCCAGGCAGGTCCTCATTTCCCGGTTGTTTGCCTTCATCATGCATCGAGCGGTCGCTAAATAAGATGTGCAGGACTGAGTTGTACCTGAGTTTCGGTGAGCATGAGCGACGTGGCCACCTCGAAGCGCTTCGGTCGCGACAGATACTTGTTCAGTTTGAACTGATGCTCCAGCTCCAGCAGCTGCTGACTGGTGAACGCTGTCCTGGGTCTTCTGCATTTCCCGAGCAGGTTTGACTGCGACTGAGCTGCAAGACAAAACAATGAACAAAGACGCGTTGTTTCCTGTGTAAAAAAATCCTTTTGAATAATTCAATTGGTCTCATTGTTGAAATATACGTTCAGATGTGTATGCTGTTGATATTGAGTCTGGTTCTTGAAATAAGATTCTAAAGGATCGTTCCACATATGAACGCAGATCATCTTTCTGCAACAAATCCGCTAAAGTGAGCAGAAACAAAAAAGCCAGTATCTGCCGAGCAGATCGCATGTCGGCTGTGGCTTTCACACTCCTCTGCCACTTTCCCCACTGTCCATTATCTGTCCATTTTAGTTCCTCTGCAGAAAACCCATGCAGCGCTGCATGACAGCCTCCAGCCTCCGCGTCGCAATCCAAATGTGAGCCTTGATATTTCTAAATGAACTTGTATGATTTAAAAAGACATGGCTGCTGATTTAACGCATCTTATTACGCCACATTTTTTCCTCATCATATTTTAGTAAATAGAATGAAACAAATTCAGCATTTATAATTTCTACTACTTAAATCTGCGTATTTCCAGTAAAAAAAAATATATTTTTATTTGGCACAGCAATATGCACATTCTTCTGAACCTTTTTTTTTTTTGGCATTTTGCTTTAACTTTATTATTGATTTTTTTCCAATGTTTTTTTTTCTTTCTTTTTGTGTTACAGTTTTAAACTTCTCATGTAAATAGAAACTTTTCCCCTAATCTTAATCAGAGAGGAAGGCTGAGAAAATTCTGCAACTCACCATTAAAATCGGACATCTTTGGCAGCATCATCCCAGCTGTGGACACTCGCAGCCAGTGATCCAGCTGGAAGGTGCTGGCTGTCAGTTTAATAGGGTCGCTGGTGTGGTGGTGATGCGAGCCGTGCGGATAGGAGTAGGACAGTGCGGGGTGTTGGCCCGTGAGCGCAGCGGCGGAGTACGTGTACATGGGATGGCCGTAGAGAGCCTGCGCCGGGATCCCCGCGCTGCTCTGCGGGTGTAGTCCCAACATGCCGTGCGCGCTGTTCAGAAACCCCGGTTTGGGAATCAGCCCGCAGGTGGAAATCCTCGGCGGAGACGGCGGCGTCTCGGCGCGCAACGACTCGGCGGCTGCTGTGAGGTCCGGGGCAGCTCCGCTTCCAGAGGACGGGATGGAGGAGGAAGATGCGGAGGAAGAGGACAGGGAAGTCACAAGTGCCAGCGGTGAAGTCTGCGCCTTTGGTGTATCGACTGCCAGAAGCGCGTCGATGCGAAAGTTTTTGGATTTCTCCATCGGGTCGGCTGTCCTGGTTGCCTCTGCGGACGATGAACTGGAGAAGAAACCAACCCTGTTTTCTTCACCTTTCAGAAGTTGATGATGTTCTCCGAAGTGTGAGAGAGGAGCGCTGTTTGACACTTAATCCCGGTCAGATGGAGGCGATTGGTGCAGCGTGAGTCAGGGGGCTGTCCCACCGGAGGCACTCAGCGGACTCAACACCGCCTCCTGCCCTAATGACCGCGCACCAAGATGATGGCAACAATATTTACCCCACGATTGGTTTAATGGCAGCGAAAAATGATGATTTCAAATAAACTCAGTCGTGACTTTTTCCAATCGTGAATTTGTGTGTGTGTGAGTGTGTGTTTTATATAGGCTACAATAAAATATTTATTATTATTATTATTTTAGTTTTACTAGTCCTCAAAATTACCAAATAGCCATTTTATTACGTCAGATAGAACTCAACTTTAAATAAGATCATTTTGGGTAAACAATTAATAATAAATCATGTTGATTTGATGTAATTTTGGTTTAATTTGAAGAGAGATGCCTGGTTCAGAGAACTCCTAATTAAACAGTTAAATAAAACAATGCAATAAGTCAGAAATTCTGCTTTAAACAAAAACTAACGCTTTTCACAACCTACAGTGCTGTTAAATGTTTAACGCAACCTTTTTATATGAATGAAAAAATAAAATAAGAAGTTTTATAATTAAAAAAAAGGATTCATAAAGCATTGACTTCGACTCGGTGTTTAATTTTTAAATGAAATCCTTAAAGGTTGGTGGTGAAGGGTTCAAAAGGCCTTTCAATATTGCAGCTCTTTGCTCATTATTTACTTGTTCTTCATCTTAGTTTTCTCAGGTTAAATTAAGGGCAGCAAGTACTGCCCTTAATTTCGGTTTAGATCAATTATAAATGAGAAAATATTGATCTGATATTTTTAGTTGAGCTCAAATTTGAATAGATTATTGTTAAATTAGACAGTAAAAACGGAAACGCTGGAGGTGAAGTGTGATTTTAAAAAAAAAAAGGTATGGAGCCGGATTGTGTTGTTTTTGTTTGTTTGTTGTTCGGCTGTATTTTTTTTCTACTTTTATTAAAAGCCATTTTATCAGAAGTCTCCCTTTTCCATTAAAATTGATCAAATTAGACTCTTTCTTAGTGACACCTATAAATGTTTATGCTTAAGGTTGTCCCTCCCAACTTCTTTAATCTCTATAATGTGAAGAACGCCAACACATGAGAGGAATGGAAACAATGTGTCTGCACGAGAGGCCAACTGGGAAATTTAAGTAAAAGCCCTCCTTCTGTCACTTCCACAGTCAGAAGCTGGCAGACGTACAGCATGTGCAATAAATCCAAACATTATCAGCAAACTGTTAATTGTGCATTTGTAAATATTATGAACATGTCAGGCAATAAAATTAGAATAAAAATATTTTTGCAAAAATTTCTGATACACAGAAATACACAGAAAAATGACTGTAGACAGATAGATAGATAGATAGATAGATAGATAGATAGATAGATAGATAGATAGATAGATAGATAGATAGATAGATAGATAGATAGATAGATAGATAGATAGATAGATAGATAGATAGATAGATAGATAGATAGATAGATAGATAGATAGATAGTAGATGGATGGATGGATGGATGGTGGATGGATGGATGGATGGATGGATGGATGGATGGATGGATGGATGGATGGATGGATGGATGGATGGATGGATGGATGGATGGATGGATGGATGGATGGATGGATGGATGGATATTTTTTTATATCCTAAACTAAGTCGTTTTTGCAAAATAAACGTATAAATAAAATTAAGACAAAAATGTCCAAATCACGACGAGCAGACGGACGGATTCGGTCTGAATAAGCCTCTTAAACCTAATGGAAGAGGAGGTCGAAAACGAGAATTATTGACACCCCGTTGCCCTTAACCTGTCTCCCAATAAAGCTGATTAGTTTCTGCCGATTCATCAGTGACGCGCGCTGCCCGGGACGTTTATTTGCTCGGGGGAAATCAACAAGTCAGCCGGGAGTTTTCCAGTAAAGGATCGCGGTTTAATTGCGGACCCTGATGATCATGACCAATTACAGAAAGATAACTGGGAGATTGATGCGGGTGCTGGGACATCATCACCTGCAGGGAAAGCTGGAAAAAACATGAATGCTGGAAGGTGGTGGCGGAGAGGGCACCTGAAATTCGCAGTATCTTGCACACATGAATAAATGTAACAATTGAACTTATGTCAAAAAAGACTAATATTGTATTTTCAACTGTTGCATTCAGATTTAGTTTTCTTTGTTCTCAAATAGATTTTGGGCACTTTGGAAGAATTCAAACGAACTGGGAGTCCTGTGGTTAAATCTGCAGTTCTGGATGTTTTCATAAAGAAACGAAACAGAAAATTAAGTTAAACGCAGTGTATCGGCCTCATTTACCAGCCCGAGTCTTCGTCTTCATACGGGTTTAATTTCATTAAGGGCCCCCACATGAATATTTCTATTAAGGGAGCGGTGAAATATGGGGCCATTTACTATTGGCCCCGACCGATCACCCAGATTTATCGCCCCTTTTCATCACATCTTTAAATGAGAGAGAAATTAATAAGGCGGCCCAAGATGGAGGCGGACCTGCAGAAGCCTTTTTCTTCCCTGAAAGCTGTTAATTTGCCCCGTAATTACGTCCACAATTAACTAAAATACAAATCAACGTGACAAATCGGAGGAGTTTATATATTAATTACCTGTGCTGAATTAAGTGGGAGCTGCTCTGTCTCTTTTAATGCAATAAATATGTTCGCCCCTACTGGCCCCAAAATGGATACATTTATGAAATGTCGGAAAATGGTTTTGGAAACATTAACTGCTAATCATTCTCATTTAATCTCTCTCTCTGGCTCTCTCTCTTTTAGCGCTTCTCCTTGGCTGATATTTTCCGATTTCAGGAGAAAAACTAAAGGCCTTTTCTAAGTTCAACTGTAACCAATAATCCAATGTGATGGACTAACTAACTAACTAACTAACTAACTAACTAACTAACTAACTAACTAACTAACTAACTAACTAACTAACTAACTAACTAACTAACTAACTAACTAACTAACATGTGATCCAAAAATTGCTGAAGGCAACAGCAATGCTATGTCCTAAAATTATGGAAACAAGATATTCTCATAATTTTACTGTTTACATTTTCTTGCATTAAAAATATGTGTATTTATTTTTTATTTGTGGAACATTACACTGTATTAGATTTTGTGGCAAGTGGCTTGTTGGTCCCCAAATCTTGACTAGAGGTGATTAGAAAGCAAAAAAATATTTTTCAAATAGATATGCAGAAAATTGAATTTCCAATTGAATTTCCACAACAGAATGTCACTGTAATACTATTTATCCATCAGTTCTTCACAATTATCAACATCAAGAAAATGTGCCCAATCTCTTTTTTGCTAAGTTTCTGTTATTTTTAAAACATATCAAAAGTGACAACATATTTATTAGAGTAGAGAATTTCAGAAAATCATGTAACATTTGAAGCTCTGAAAAAGTTTTATTAGGGGGATAAATGGCAAAGATGGCTCTTTGGACCATAAAGACTGCAGACCCCTGGTAAGCAAAGAGATGCCTAATTTGAAGGGGAAGAACAACAACACAGGGTTTTAAAATGTGCAAACCTTTCATGTGTGGATTCAAGTTTGGATTTGAATGCATTCCTCCTCAGTCAAAATTAATTATTTTTATTTATTTAATTGCTAAAACTACAACTGCAAGTCTCATGGCTCATGCAGGTTTGAACATCCATGCAGTTGTGGAAATAAAAGGAAGCACAGAAGAAAACAGGAGAATCTGGGAAAGATCAAACTGAGAGGCTTTGATGTTGGTGAGGTTGATCACAGGAATGGACGCCAGTGGGACCATTTACTTGACAGATAACAGCTGATGGAGAGAACAGTGTTGAAGAAAACACAACTGAAGATAATCTAATGAAAAAGAATAATAAATTAGATGTTTCCCAGGTAAACAAAGCACATTAATTAAAATGGTAGTTGTGTGAAGGCTTTACGTGCTATAAAACAAGGTTGTTTCGAAATTAGAGCCCCAGTCCAGGGTCACCAGAGAGATTTTGATGCATTTCAATTTGACCTGGTTTAGTTTTCTCTTTTAGAACTTCATCAACAACTCTGAATCAGTCATTGTGAAAAACCTAACAATGTTCAGCTTTGAGGGAGATTTCAAAACACGACCCAAGGTGTCATTGGGAGGAGCGAGTAAAAAGGTAAGGATCAACAAGTAGTATTGTATCAATTTTCAGAGACAGGTTGAACAACAACACAGAAACAAAACATCTGATGAAGACTTATGCTTGAGATCGGTCTGAATCTTTGAACCATGTGGTTCTTTGAAACATAGAAATAAGGGACTTCTTATATGTCTCATATGTAAGAAGTCATATTAATTTTTGGCATTTTGTGACTCATTTGGACTGAATCAACATAGTTATTCCAATTAACAAGAATTGACTTTAAAAAAGAAGAATTTGTTTCACAATTTTAATTTATTGTTTATTAGTTCTATGCGACATAAGTTCAAAGAAAGACTTCTGTATCTCTCAACCAAACTTTTATCTGTTCATTTGATGTGAAGTGGAGGAATTTAGATGTAGCTATAACATTTTCAGGAGTTATAATTTAGAATTGACACAATACCTTAGCAGTATTACATAAATCTTGAGAGGCGGGCAGAGTACCCCAAAGTCGCACTCGAGTAAGATTAGCACTATTTCAACATGGTTTAGCTCAAGTGAAAGTAAGAAGTCCCAGAAATTATTCAACTAAGAGTAAACAAGTATTTGGTAAAAACAAGCACCTTAAGTACTGAGAATGATGATAAAGTCTGATTTAATATTTTATAATGATGCAATCAGACACACAAAAATAAGGTTATGTGCAAATTTTGGTATTCTAAAGACCAAAATGAAAAAAGAGCACATTTTAAGCATGAGAGACAATTTTCTAAACGAATAGTTTATATATAAAACTGAGACAACAGGTGATGTATAAGTATGAACAGGCTAAAATTCATCTAATGACAGTGTATGGT